TTGTCGGTTGAAGCTACGGAACTCAGTCAATAGGAAGATCGTGTTTATTGGGTTTCTTCACTGAACGGCAGTTCAACTATGTATCCTTCAGTTTGCTTCCTGCTCCGCCCACCATGGTATGTCAGACGGCATGTTAGCTCCAGACAGCCATCTATGGAGGCAAAGGAAAACTGATAACTGCATTTTCGGGTTAATCAAGGAGCGTTCCACAAGGCCGTGCTAGAATCTCCGTGTGGGGGCAAGATGCTACTAGGCAAGATGCTCGATCCATATTGGCTTGTGTTAGCTCTAATCAGGGCATGCCTTCCTTTAGTCTGTTTCCCACACATGACACATCAGTCCGAATGATGTGATGTTTGGTTATTATTGACGGCTGACCTTCGGACGCCCCCACTCTGAGAAGGCTGTTCACCCGACTGCTGCTTTGGACTCCACTGTGACGACTATGCTGTCGCATTTCGGTCCATTCCTGGGGCTGCGAGCGTGTCGATCTGTTACCTGGTACCCTCCACTTTGGATGTACGTCACGGCTGTCCGGTGTCGCGTGCGACGTGGTCCTCTCACCGAACCGCAGTCTGTGGCCTGAAGTTGGTTTACTTGACGTGGTTATGCTTATTATCTGATTTGTGCCTCGTGTTCGATATAGCATTTGACCCTGCGTCCAACGTCAAGAGCATTCCTCAAATCATGGGATCTGTATCCGACTTCTGTGTGACGGTTTTGGCGTCCCTTCTGCCGGCTAACTTCCTCAACTTTCTGTATAACAGTAGAACGATGCACATGAATCTGCGACTATAAACTGAAGGGTTCAGGCCGCTGATGAAACGTTGCAGGCTGCTGGCAAGGTTCATTAATGTGGACTGAGGTAAGAGGGTACCCGTGGTGGACGCCAGGAGCTGAATAGCCGCCGCGTCAAGTACGCTCTCCCCAGTCTTCGGTTTAACCGTAACTGTGGCGACCAAAATATTGTCAGGACGTGTTCTCGTGAGCGTACCAGAGCCGTTTGAAATTGTTCCGTTACAAACTGCATAAAGGGTTGATCCAAGGGTTGAGGCTCATTAATCCTAACCACGCCCAATAGATCAAGGCCTGTATAGTTCGTGAGGTAGCAAGTGCCATTGAGTTAAACTACCTTGAACTTTACAGAACAGTCGAGCTTTCCGGTCAGTTTGGGGCTTAAACCAGATGCATTACGGACGGTGAACTTTGTGGGTTCCACTTGTGGCTTTCCAAATACATCCCAAGTTCGTTTTGAAATCAGAGTGAGGTCAGAACCTGTATCCATCTGCAGGGTACCTGGTGTGCCACTGATATATAGTGTGACAAATTTACGTAGACCGGGTGAATTCATCCTGAATGTGACGGTCATGGTCTCTTCCTGGATTGGTTTCTCGGGTCGGTGTTTGCGCGAGCTTTTGAAGTTGTCTCTGCAGCATTCTTCACTTTGACCTTTTCGACTGGACTTACTGCACCTGTGGTTCCGGTGACGGCAGTGGCGTGAATAGTGCCATTGTTCAAAAAACTAACAGGGTTTGGACGGTCTTCTTGGATTCGATTAGAATTTGATTTCCCTTTGGGAGTTACTTTGCCTGTCATATCAGGCAGAGAGAATTTGGACTGCCCAACCATTGCAGCATCAGCACTGAGATTGATAAGACGCTATATTTGGTGGTAAGTTTCTGAAGCGTCAACTCTGGATTTTGTTCAGTTCGATTCAGGAGCGGGGTCCGAATATTTGTATCATATGGCGATTGAAGACCAACTACAAGGATGAGACATTTGATTTGACCCTCGGTCATGGGGCTGGGGCTGAGAGCGCTGGCATTCTCTGTCGACCTCACCGGCATAGTTGATGAAATCTTCAGTGTCCCCTTTGGTAATCTTGAGACACTGATAACGAATACTGAAGAATGACATTCTCTCACCGAATATTCGGGCCACGATTTCTATAGCATCTGCGAAACCAAGGTCACGAGGCAGCCTGAGGAGTATGAAAATCATGAAATGATCATTTTCGGCTGTCCCCAGTTTCCACAGCAACATTCGGAATTTCCACGCATCATCAAACCGAGCAAAGTCGGTTTGAAACGTGTTTCTATATTTCCTGAATTAACTTTCGAAAGTTGTCCAGATTCAGCTTCGAAATTGGATTCGGTAATAAAGCTGGCAGCAGCGTTTGTGGAAGGAAATGGAGACACAACCGCTTTTGTCGCATTCACCGACATACTGCGCATCAGAGGTTCAACGAGCCTTAGTTGAACATCTTCGGACTGCTCCTGTTGATGCTATAAAATCAAGTGAAGTTGCTCTGCCGAATCGGACATCGTGGGTTCGGGATGTTGCTGTTTTTTCGGTTTAGTTCTCGGTGTGAGCCTTTTAAGCTAGCGTTCACGTCAAAACAACCACCAAAGGTGCACAAGGTATATTAACACCCAAAACGAAGTCAGGAACACTTTTACGGTGCTTCATCTGTATGGCGTAAGCGGCGATACTTTTTTGGAAACTCTGACGCGTTCTGGTTGTGCCACTGGCAACCCGCATTCAGCCACTACTGGGTAATGATTGGCTGTGGGGGCCACACTTGCGACCAATCAGATCCCGGCTTGATGCCGGACCTGCAAGCGATTCGAATTTTTGGACAAGCTTGCGTTGGATGGACTTCCCGGCCGTAGCAGCATCTGACTGCGAGCGGTAAATAGGGATCCGTGTGGAATTCCGCCTAACACATTGCCCTTGAAAGTTGTGGACGTGATTTTCTCAAAGGCACAGGTTCCGTGATTGACCTAAAGCAGGGAAGGCTGGTGATAAAGTATGGCGAAATCAAGCTCATGGGTTTTTCAGGCACCGTCGTGAGGAAGCCGTGTGTCCGAAAACTTCCGTCTTGTAATGCATCGTCAATACGGGCCGTGGTTGAGGAATATTCCGAACTGTTTACGGGCGATGAGGATACGTTTGGCTTCTGCCCGTGGATTGAACACGAAATTCCTCTGTTATCAGAACGCTTAAGACCTTACGGCCCCCGTCCGTTGCCGCTCCATCTACGGGAGGAG